GATGTGAACTGTCAGATATGTTATTTAATAATCGAAATGGTTCATTCTTTATGTATTCTGCAAATGTTTTATCTCATTGCTATATATTCTGGTGCTTGCATGGTTTTTAGCATGTGCATCAGAATTATTTTAATTTCACAGTTTCATATGTTCTTAATTCTTTATAGCTCACAGCTTAAGAGTTTGCTAACCTACAAAAAAATCTTTAAAAATGTCATGTAGCATTATGGATCGCCACTGGACTTAAAATTTTATGTCCTATTAATTAATCTGTCCCAAAGCATTTAAAGGATGGTCCGCTGAAACCTGTTAACATTATTAAAAATGATTAGAAATGGTTTCTTCTTCCTCTTGATGAGTTCTGGAAAAAAACAAAGGCAGGGTAGACCAAATCAGAGCCAGCATATATTCTGACCTATGTGTGCTCCTTTCTGCAAGAAGCATGAAAATCGGGGATTGAAGTGTGGTTTCACATATAGCTAAACTGATTTAACAGATCCTTGATGCAGAAAAGGGGTGAACATGTTCCTTTTCCCCTCTGCTGCTCCTGGCTGTAACTGTAACTGCTTGTACTCTTCACCTGTAGCCCTGCAGGAAATATTTTAGGGATGTTTTATGATTGAATCGGTCTGCAAAGGGGAACCTGAGAGTGAAAACTGGTGCAAGATAAACATAGGAGAGGAAGAGCTGAATGAAAGTCGAGGGAGTGAAAAGAGGGAAAATGGGAGCTCCCTCTATAGGTGGCAGTGAACCGTTAGGCCAAACCATTATGTCTATGAAACAATTTTAGAGTGCGGCTTTGCATTATTGTTGGTCTGAAGCAACCACAGGCTGCCATCAGAGAAGAACTGTCCTGCCATCCCCATTATCCCAGCCAGGCTCCTATCAACCTGTGTTACGCTGTATCTATCTTATGTGCAGCTGCTGGGTAAAATGGGCCAATTTATTCATTAAATGGAAAACTAAGCCACGGAAAAGTTGATTTTTATTTTATTCCCCCATCCCTCTCTGATCAAGTCTGTCTTTGGTTTCCTGGTTACTGGATCTCATGAAAATGAGGGAAGTGGAAAGACGTGGTTAGGAATTACTGAAACATGGAGGAAGTAGAACAGGATTATTCTCTTCAGCAGCTGCATTATGTTCAGTGTGAGCGTGGGCTAACATGAAAACGCACCCTTGGTTATTAACCTTGTCTTTACAGTTTGAAGAAATATGGAGATGTTGAAGAAATTTCCCTTGCTTTCCTTGCTCTGATTTTTATATATGACGATTAAAAAGGGACTTTCCAGTCCACATACTTTTAGGAATTTGTCTTCAGGCTTCTGTTGCTTCCTCTTCCTGTGAAGAGGACCTGCCAGCTCTGAGTTTGTGAGAAAACTGTAGTCTTTTCTGTTCCTGGGTTAAGTAGCTGCAGTAATTCTTCTGCTGTTTACAACTAAACATTCTTTTGCAAAGTTTGAGGAACAATGTGTATGAATTTCCCTAGGGATTGCAGCAGTGATGCAGTGGCATGTGACAGGAAAGACAGTCCATAAGCAAAGGAGGCTATTGACAAAGGGCTGTCCACCCCGCACAGAACACGTACCTTAAATTCCTGAACTATAGATATGATCTCTTGTGCTTCAAAAGCAACTGCTCAAACATCTTCCTACCTTTTTCTTCATTAGCTGAACTCCTTTGAGCAGTTGTGTATTAACTACACAAATGAAAAGTTACAGCAGCTCTTTAACCACACCATGTTCATTCTGGAGCAAGAGGAGTACCAGAGGGAGGGCATCGAGTGGAATTTCATTGACTTTGGCCTGGATCTGCAGCCGTGCATTGACCTCATAGAGAAGCCGGTAAGCGTGTTCTTCCCCTGTCAGGCAGCGAGATACTGCTGCACTAATTTTGTCACTGAGCGCATAACCTCTGCCTTTAGACTGGAAACCAACTTTCTAGCTTTTGTAATCCTCTGCTGACACTGTGGTGTGCCTAGAAGCAGAAGTGAGCAGTCTCCTCTTTGTCTGAAAGTATGTCACCAATAAATCTCTTAGTATCGGTTCTGTAAGAAATATTACATGAAAATAGATCTAGTCAGCCACTTCTGCCCCTCACAAAATTGTCTTCATTTGTGTAAACCTGCATGGTGCTAGATGTATGTGTGGCGTACCATAAGTACTGTGTGAACGTCCTTAACTGTAAGCGTGATGAGAAGCTGTGAATCTCTGTTGCTTTCATTCTGCTCTAACGAAACTTGGAAATTTATAAATTTCATAGTAGATGTTCCAATAGTAAGGACTAATTTGTGAAGCGTTCTGCTATGGTCTTCTGCATTTAGACAACTGGATATTTGGAGAACAGTGTGATAGTGTTCTTTCTATTAAAAAGAATTTTTTCCCCACGTAAAACAACCTAGACAAATGTCATGGAAGAGACATTCTCATAAAATGTTCAGAACTAAGGTGAGGATTTTGAAGAACTATTAACAATTTCTATTAGTATTAAAGTAGTTGAACTGATACCATGCAACAAGTGAATGTGATGGGGATCAGGGTTAGGTATCCTTTTTTCCTAGCCATCTAAAGGGGTTAATTATTGGTGCAGTCATGCATTTAACTATGTTTTGATGTTTCCCTTTAAGGCTGGGCCTCCTGGTATACTGGCCCTGCTGGATGAAGAGTGCTGGTTCCCAAAAGCAACAGACAAAAGTTTTGTGGAAAAAGTTGTACAAGAACAAGGCACCCACCCCAAATTTCAGAAGCCAAAACAGCTGAAAGACAAAGCTGACTTCTGTATCATACATTATGCTGGCAAGGTAAGGAATTAGTAGCTTAAATGCAAACACCGGAACGTCTGCTGTGTTTCCTAGTGCACAATCACTGCTTCTTAGAAATTACTTCTTACCAAGATGGCTGCCTCTGGGAAACTAGTGGAAGATTTCATGAAGTTGTTCTATTGCTGTGAACCTTACAGGCCTAAGGGGATTTGCCTGCAAGTTATATTTGTATAGCTGAAGATATGTCAAACTGACACCAATTTGATTTTTTTTCTCTATGACTTGGTGAGATTGAAGGTACTTTTCAGAAATGGTGCATCAAGATTTCACCAAAAATGATGATGCAGTTGGGGTTTTTTTTGTGTCACGCTCTGGGTGGTGCAAACTAGCATTGCGAATCCATTCCCTTTACTGACAGAACAGAACATGCAGCCGTTTGTTAGGATTTGAAATTTGTAGGTATACTTGCTTAGATGGCAAATTCAAGGATGATTAGGTAATCCGTTGTTGATTTTGCAAACCTCAGTGCTACTTTTATAGACTTTGCAGGATCTCGTTGCATCTCGTGCTGCAGAAAATCCCCCTCAAGTTTCTTGATGTATTTATCTTCTCCAGGTGGATTATAAAGCAGACGAATGGCTGATGAAGAACATGGATCCGCTGAATGATAACATTGCTACTCTTCTTCACCAGTCGTCGGATAAGTTTGTGTCTGAGCTGTGGAAAGATGGTATGTAATTAAGCTTAATCTCATTTGCGTTCCCTTGTTTTATGTGGAAGTTTGTTTGATCATCAAAAGTCTGTGATGAGCTGTGTTGCTTTTTTTCCCTGAAGACTAAGCCACCAAGATGAGCATTATCTGGAACATCCTTTGCTTAGGTCATGATATTGCATTTAAAGTTCACTGTAACTCAAGAGAAAAGTTCACTTGCATCTACTTATGTTAAGCTTGCTGCATATATAGCAATTACTTCTTGAAACTAAGAATGCCAGGATGAAATACGAATGCACCATTATGTCCCAGCAGCTTATATAGCTGCAACACTCAAACACAAGATCTGAGGTTGAATCTATGTTTTCAGTCCTGCAACTGGTGTGTTCTTTCTGCAGTGTTGTTCAGTATTTTACTCTATCTTTTCTGGGTTTATCTGCTTGTAAGCCTTACTGTTGCTATCACTTTCTGTGGTGGGTTTTCTTTGACGTCTCTGTCTGTTACAGAGATGCAGAACGTTCAGAGAGCCTATTTCTATCAACACTTTCCTATTCTTCATCTAGAACCAGGTGACTGAGAAACCCAGCTGTCGTGTCATGTGTGTAATGCATCCTAGAGCCATGCAAGAAATGCTTCTGTTAACTTCTCTCTGCCCCTTTGTCATACCTGCTTGTCTGTCTTGTTCATTTCCTCTGCTTTGTGCTAGTAGTTCCTCACGGACTTTAAAACAAAAGGAAAACTCTCACCTTGCAAGTGGATACAAGAAAAATATGGACATATTCAGGTGCTAAAGGTTGCTCTTGCAAGACTTGCATAGGAACAGCTAAAAGCAAATCCCTGGCAACTGTTCGAATGTAGAGTTAGCAAGGGTGTATTTCTTGCAGGATTTGGAAGGAAGACTTCTGAGATGAGGTTTAAACTGAAATCCAGTTTAACATTGATTTTAATATTTGGAGTTTGACTTTGACTGCTTATCGTTTAAAAGAAAGTTAGTTTGGCAAAGGAACTTGTACTGCATGAAAAATGCCCAACAGCAACTTGTGCCTAAGAAGGCTTTGCTGCGTGAGACTCCTTTTGAACTTGAAATGTCAACTGAACCACAGCTGATCAGTTCTCATTTGTTGTTCTTAGCTGGATCTTCTGTTGCAAGTGACTGTCCTTTTTGCTATCTTGATGTAGATTGCAGGGCTCAAGGTTTTTAAGAGGATTGTTCCAACTGCATCTGGGACACTCTTCTGTGGATTTCCCCGTGATGTCATCTAGTAACATAACCTTCTTTTCTTTCTGATAAGACAACCTTGACCCTATTCTAACAGCTACTCTAGAAGTGAGCAGCTCTAAAGAAATATTAGCTGTAAATCAGGGTATCCTTCCTTCTTTCGTAGGGGTTTCTTTTGGGTGTGTTTTGTATTTTTTTAATCAGAAGGCAGTTGATCACAAGTTGATGTATTTTCTGAAGTGAAGACTGGGAGCCTGAATGGTAGGCATCAGCCAACTGCTAAAGATAAAGTGAAATAGTAGATTGAAGCTCTTAATAAAAATGTACTAGGGGTGTGGAAATTTATAGTGATACAGTTCACTTTGGTTAGGTGGGTGAATTTTTATCTCCGTGTAGAACAGCAATGGGAAAAGTAATGCTTTAGTTTTTTTCTTGCCCCTGCTAGTGTCAGATCTAGCTGGCTTCCATTGGAAAAAAGGATCTGTGGAGTCCAGCCATCAATGTGGTAGCTTCATCAGTGCTTGAATATCACTGTGACATAGTGGAGAAACTGTTGGGGCAGAGAGTTCTGACTTTCTCCTAGTGGTATTGTTCATGTCTCTGTCATAGAATACTTGTACTCCAACAATAACTCAAACAGTGGTATCTTGAGGTTTGGTTTCTATCCTGCCTTTTACCCTGTTTGCTCAGTTTACAAGTAGATATGGCTTTTCTGATCACCAGTCATGGCAATTCTGCCTGTAGTGCAAGAGCAAAACTGGGCTTTTTCTCTAACTGTGGCCTCTTCTGGGTCAGAGTTAACTGATAGTTGACTCTGCTGGCCTAGCAGCTAGAACTCTTGATTTGTTTTTTTTCATTGTAACCTAAGCAAGTAGAAGCATCTGAAACTCACTTCTAAATTGCTTTTTCAGAGTTGCCATCCAGAGCATCAGTAGAACATGTTTGGGAGCAAGTTTGACTCCATCACTCAAACTTCCTGTAGTAAGCTGTTGCTTTTTTTTCCTTCCTGCTCCTATCCCTGCACAAATTCTGTACAGGAGTCGACATCTGTGTAGAGATGAAGCAAAAAGGATCCTGCAGCTCCTCTCATTTATCCTGTTCTACCCAGATGTTCTTTGTACATTCCAGTGGT